GTGCCAGCACTTATATTTATATTGTGACAACCCAACTAATAAAATAAATACAAGTACAAAGACAAAAATGCCCCTGAGGCATAAGTACAACTCCTGTTAACACTTTCCATGTTCAATTTTCATTATTGCATTCTTTTGTTGCTGGTATTCTATTTATTGCCTAATGTGTTGCAGTATTCAATGAATGCCAGGGGTTGCTCACTGGGGGGTGGGGGTTGAGACGAGCACAAGTTTTCACCATGTATAGTTCTTAATAGACTTGAATAATAGGGCCTAGCTTTAACCATTAATAGAGTTCATGGGGTGGAGGGGGTACTTCTGGGGGCCCATCTTTGAAGATTTCTTGGTTCTGTTCTCCCATGGCTTGGCTAGTGAACCCATTGTTTATAGTGTGTACTGTCTAGGCATGTTGTTTCTAATTGTGCTTAGCCATTTGTGTTACATTTTTTTTCAGGATGATAATCTACATAGGTGCTCTCTTTCAGCTGMTTCTCAGATGGAAAACAGTGGAAGTGAGGAGTCTACTGATGATGAAAATCTTGATACGAAAGAGAATGGATACCATGATGCAGAAAATGAAGTTGATCCAGAAATAGATRATGATCCTGAACGTGTGTTCAGTGGAAAATTGAGTGAAAGCAGTGGTTATGCTGGCAGTGATTTTTATGATTACAAGGTTTGGTTTCTCTTTCTACAGAAAATCTRTTTCTTTAGCTCCYATGTTTTTTGTGTAATTTTTCACAATGCAATGTACATAGTTATTATATTACATATTTCCTTGTCCTTGTAATTTTGAACTGAGAGATCTCRCTACTTTTTGGTTGAAAATTCATCTCATTTGGTTGCATAGGTAGAGACCATACTGCATAATGAAAGTGGAAAAGGTAATTTGTTATATTGGGTGCTTGGCACACCTTCATATTTGTATATGTTCATCTTGGAGAATCTGAATACGTTGCTTTTGGCTTGGTGGGTTACAGGTTTTAGTCGAAAGGAAAAAAAATTCTATAGAACATACTACTTCTTGCTTTTTCTTGGGTCATTTGGAAAGAGTGCAATCAATGGATCTTTGAGTTGAAGGCCTGTACCATTGAGGCAGTTGTCAATAGGAATGGTAATTGATTCTAGACGAGGGTGGATAAGCAATTTCAATGGGCCACCACCTAGCAGCTCCACTCCCTAGGTTTTATTGCAAAAAACAATCATTTTTTACTAATAATTACCAATGATCTTCATCAAATAATTATAAACTTAACATCAAAACATAGAAAATCAACATATTCATGAGAAGAAAAAGAAGCAAGAAAAGAGAACTCGGAGAACATAGGGTGTCAACCCTCTTTTTATGTGTTGATCAGGTAAAAATGAATAAATTTATTGTAATAATATCTATTACAATATTGTAATCTAACAAAATAAAAAATAAAAAATATTATATGGTATCTTGTATAAAAACAACTAAGTGCTCAAGAGACGTAACCCTCCCATGGGTGCCTTGTCACCTATGTATCACCTTGAGAACTATTTCCTAAAGGGAGGTCTAAGCACAGCTGTAGATAAGGTTGATCCACTGGAATGTTGGTATGTATGGAGGTCCCGGGGAAGTTTCATAATTTCTTTTTTGACTTTGTGGTTTTCATTCTGTTCCTGTTTCTGGATTCCCAWCCAAAACCCATTTTTTCTTGAAGGGAAGAAAGAAAAAGATCTCTGGTACTTCTACTGACTGATGACTGATGGAGGATAAAGTGTAATGAAACTCAAGATTCTAGGTTTGAGTTTCTTTGTATAGAACACCTATTTCAGTCGAGGTTTAAATGTTGATAATAATGGTAATTTCAATCATCCAAATATAGGAAAGGTGTTGGAAAKTTTCAGTAAAAACCGTAGACATGGTGGAAATATTGAGTAGTTATTACTGGGGAGTATGTTCARTTCTAGTAATATTTCACGTTGGTACCCATTGAAAAGGAAATATGTTGACGTTTTAAACCATGATTTAACTCTCCTTTTGTAAGTTTTTGTCTGTCTTTGTATWTTTGTTTCTTTTAGTTGATCATTTGAGTCAGTTCAACTTTTTGAATGAATCCACAGGCATTTGGAGGTGATGATTCAGATGTTGAATCCCTTAGAAACAATCATACTCTGGGAATGAGTCTGAAGCAAATTGTAGATTCTGAAAAGTTGCTTAATGATTCCAATATCCTACTTAATGAGCAGAAAGGATCATTGAAAAAAGGAAGTGAGAATCCAGTGAGTGAGATGGATGCAACTAGCAATTTRCCTGGTGATGTATCTCATCGCTCAATGGGAGAGATTCTGCCAGGACTTTCCGTGCCAATGCCTGGACCTGAATCTTGTGCAGAAAGGCCTTTGAGTAAACTAAATGGCTCCAACCACAATGGGAAGCGCTCAAACTTTAGGGGAAAGAATGCTGTGAGTTGTGTCATCATTTGCTAAATAATTCCTGTCTTGGCATAATTTTAGAATTAGTTTAGCTTAATGTCTTTGATGTGTATTGCTGATCCTAAAAAGAAAAAAAAAAGTCTTTGATGTGTATGGTGTGTTGAGCTAACTTGTGGTGTGCTTGTGAATGTGTATGGTATTGTTTTTCAAAACAAAATCATACACATTAATGAATATCCYCTAAAGGAGTCAGGTATTTGGTTCATTCAGYGGTTTCTTATGTTATCCAAATACAACATTAAGCATTACCAACAAGAGGAGCAACAATACATTCCTTTGAGCGAACAGACTGAAATGAACATGGCAAACTAAGGGAAATTTTATGATGGTAGTAGCTATGGCTGATGACAAGAAATTTCAGGCACAACAATCAATGTATGGGTTGATGATGATCTTATCCTTACCAGAGATGGATAGACCAGGCAACCACTGCTCCACTCTTTATGAGTGGTAAATCTGCCTATGGAGAGAACTGTAGAAACGAGTGAAAATTTWGTTTTGTGGGTTGTTTGTTGATGTTTGCTTTATTTCTTGTTTGCTTATTAGTTATGGGCTTTCCCTTATGTGCTGGATCACTGTCTTATTTGTTTATTATAGTTATAACTACTGCTGCCTTATGAGGGGCAGTCTTGTAATTCTTCCTATTATACCTTAAAGTATAAAAACATTGGGGACTCTATTGAGTCCCACGATCTATTTTCTTTGTCATGCAGTATTTGTCCAGTTGGCTGCATGAGGTAATCAGAATGCTGGAGTTCATGGAGTTTTCTAGCCTGGTTTGGTGACTTTTGGAGAGAGTTTGCTTC